TAATTAATTTTCGATTGTTAAATAGTTTTTCTTGTTAAATTGAATAATACCATTGGATTTGTGAGAAAATTTTACCCCAAAAAAGTGTGGTTTTCAAAACATTTCTGTTTTTATCCTCAGGAAATATGTACAATTTAAGATGTCAAATCCAAATTCGCACCATCATTCTATTAGTGGGTGCTCGACCGATGTGTGCGGTTTGAAGGTTAAAGTTAACATTTTCTTCCTGAAGTATTTCATTTTTTTTTACTTTCAAGATTATACTCATTGAAATGTGAGGTTATTTTCGAATCGATTACAATTTGTGGGGTACAATCACGTTTGTTTTGCTTTGAATGATCAGTATTTATGTGCTTTCTATACGAATTAAGTTGTGAAAATAAACGATTGCACGATTTTTCCGTGCATAAGAAACTTTTCGTGCCAGTGTCACGGTGAATTACTTTCATATGTAATTGTAAATGCCTGTAATCTAAATGATCTGCGCACGTAGGGCATTTAATAATCATTTTTCGGCCTTAAAACTACTAAATAATTATAAAAGAAACATCAACAATTTTAATCTAAGTGACCGGCGCACGTAGTATATTTATTAATCATTTTTCGGTCTTAAAACTAAACTTAAACTGAAATAATTAAAATTAAAAGAGTATTTATAAAAAAAACCAACAATTTTTTACGTTTCTGTGTTAGTAATGTGCAAATCGGACCAAAGCGAATTTGCACTGATATATTGTTTGGCGTTTTTGGATGAGCTGATGTTGTAAATATATTGTTGTAAGAAATACCAGATTGGTGCAGACTCGACCGGGTATTTGGCATCCAATACGTAAAATGTCTTGAAACAAAAGTCAATGGCACTTAACAAAGTGGTTGTTTCATATTTAATGTCATTAACGACGACATATATCGCTTTGATGTCTGTCAATTGTCCGACAATAGCAATTTGGGGTTGCAGTGTTAATCCATAAACGTGTAATTTTTCTTTTCGCTTCGTCAATGCTTCGTCAAGATCTCCCGCAATCTGCCATACACACAAAAAATAAAATAAATAAATACAGACAACAATCTTAAATGGCAGTCACAAATATTTATTTGTTTTAAAATTGGAACTGAACTTGCCAAAATCATTAATTATAAATAATGTTAAGCAATGTTATTTTTTACGAAATCAGTTACAAGTTGTACAACAGTTATAAAATGCAAATATACTTACAGCAACCTTTAGAAAAACCGACTCTGACATTTCTTGTCTTGAAGGTTTCCATTTCTTAGAATTACCAGTAGGTACGAATGATGGTCGAAACATAAATGGAAGGATGAGTAAACTTGATGTTTCAGATGGTAATGTGCCAACTAAATCTATTATATGTTCACAACAATTGCGAGTTTTTGCCAAATCAATAATTTTTGTAGCTAAAGAGGGCCACTTTTTGGCAAGTATATTAAAATCCGTTAATTGCATACAATCAAAGTCCCATCTTATCTGAAATATATATAATTTTGTATCATATTTTTAAAGGAGATACTTAATATATATAATTTGAAAAGTAGTCGCATAATTTACTAGTGAACATCCTGTAGGGGTTTGCAGAATTGGATAAGTGTCATAGTATTCTGCAATTGTTGTGAAGTTTCGACGGTATTCGAAAGTACTTTTCCACATTGATTCTAGCTCTTTATCTTGTGGCAAAATTGTTGTAAGCAACAGTAATTTTTCTTGAATATCTGCAGAAACTTCCTTAGGCGTGCTTTTTTTATTAACAGCACGTAAGATTCCTGATTTTTTTAAAGTTTTTCTGGTATTTGTATATTTATGTCGAAGTTTTCCAGATGCCAGCCGTTTCTCAGATGATTCGATATAATATGTTTCTTTGGATTCCTTTTCAAAGACATTAACGATTTCTGATGCCCAAAACTTGAATTCTTCTTTTGAAATACTACACATACAAATTTTACGATTAATAAGTAACAAATTGAAAAAAAGTATTTTTTATCATGCATTAATTACCTGGTTTTATCTGTGAGGCAATGATCAATAATTATATTAACGATTCTTTTTCGATCAGATTCCTGCAAATGTGTTTTTTCTAAAATCAGCTTATCACATATTTTTTGTGACAGCAATTGTCGCAAATTCTGAAATAAATTGAAAACGTCAATTAATTGATGATTATGTCATGTTATTATAATCATGTTATATTTTTAAAAAATCATTATAAAG